CTAATAAGAGCAGTGATCTTGTACCCCACATCTTTATAATAATAATAAAAAAAAGATTGAGATACCAAAAGCTATATTATGCAGATAATCATTCACTAAATCCAATGCATATGTAACTATAAAATATAATATACCATTAACATAATTTAAAATATGACTTAAGATGCGATGCTATTGCTCTATTGTTTTAAGTCAATAAATAAATAAATATCACTTTTTTTATCAATAAATAAATAAATATCACTTTTTTCTCACTTTATCATTTCTGAAGTCAGAATGTATAACTATGATGATAGTGGAGAGGATGATGATGATGACACTGATAATAGCTAACACATATATACAACTTCATATATGCTAGGTGCTAGTCTAAGTCTTTTATCTGTATTAACTCACTTATAACCTTATGAGTTAGATATAGTTATTATCTTCTCTTTGACAATTGAGGGAACTGAGGCACGAAAAGTTTAAGTAAGTTCTCCAAGGTGTCATCTCCCTACATACCCACACATACCTCTATTAAGTGGCAGAGGTAGGCAGAGCCAACAACCCTAACCTCTACCCTGTTGTATAATTTAACAAGACCGGTGATGCCTCTTGAGATACCTGATGATATCTTATAATTGAGAAAATCCAAATAGTGATTAAATGGTGTCTACAGTCCAATTCCAGTCCCATCTTCATGCACTGGGGAACTCTAAGAAACAATCCAGGATGGTGGCAAACCACACAGGCAGTGACCTCTCACAAACTGTATTCCAGTCCTAGCTATGCTACTTACAAGCTAACTAAGGTTGGGTGAGTTTTTAAATCCTTCTTGTCCTCAGTTTCCTGTAAAATGAGGATGACTCCACCATTTCCCACCACACAGTGCTGCTGTGAGAATAAGAAGAGATAATCCTTGTGAAATTCCTTGAACACAGCAGGTGTTCAGTAAATGGGAACCATTCTCACCTTTCATTTGACTGCCTGGTGTGCTCAGAGGAGGGGCCTTTTCCTCAGTGAAAGGAGCCACTCTTACACATTGAAGACTGGTGTCTTTAGATAGTGGCACCCATCAGTCATCTCAGGCTGTCTAGACTCTTCTCAGTGCTTTAGAGTGTATGGCAGAGTATATATGTGGGTCACTGAAAAGGCCACCACACACCTGGAGAATTGCTACTGCTACAAACTGGGCACAAACTTGTCCCAGATGGGAATTGTGACATTTGCTCCTTTAAATACAAAACAATTCCTTTAGGTTTTTGCTTCACATCATCCAATTTCTTTGAATGTTTCAAACCTGACTCAGGTTTGTGAGAAGCCCCAAAAGACTCTGTTAGGAAAAGCAAACATTCAAGCAAACAAAAAAACAGACACTATCAATCATGTTGAAGCAACACACAGCCAAGTGTCAGGTAATAAACTAGAAATTAATGATTCAAGTGCTGGAGTGACCCTTGATTAAAGAGTGGAGGGCCAAAGTAATCCTCAGCAAAAGGAACAAAGTGGGAGGTATCACACTTCCAGACTTTAAACTTTATTATAAGGCTACAATAATAAAAACAGCCTGGTATTGGTACAAGAACAGCCATATAGACCAATGGAAAAGGATAGAGATTCCGGAAGCAAAACCTCAACTTTTCAACCAACTAATCTTCAACAAAGCCTCCACTACCAACCACTGGGGAGAGGAGAAATCTATTCAGTAAATGGTGCTGGGAAAACTGGCTGACCACATGCAGAAGATTAAAACAAGACCCCTAGCTATCACCATATGCAAAAATCAACTCTAAATGGATCAAAGACCTAAATGTAAAACCTCAAACTATAAGAACCTTAGAAAATGCAAGAAACACCCTTATGGAAATTGGAACTGGCAACCAATTCCTGATCAAAACCCCAAGTGCCCATGCCATAAGAGATAATATAGACAAGTGGGACCTTAAATAAGATAAACAAACGGGACCTCATCAAACTGAAAAGCTTCTGCAAAGCCAACGAAACCACCGGGAGAGCAGGGAGACAGACCACAGACTGGGAAAAAGTATTTGCCAACTGTATATCTGACAAAGATATCTAGGATCTACAAGGAACTCAAATGTGCCAAAAAGAAAAAAACAAACAGCCCTATTAAAAAGTGGGCAAAAGGTACGAATACACACTTCTCAAAAGAAGACATTATGAGCAGCCAACAGATACAAGAAAGAATGTTCAGCCTCACCAGTCATCAAAGAAATGCAAATCAAAACCACACTGTGATACCATCTAACTCCAGTCAGGATGACCATCATCAATAACTCAAAAAACAACAGATGCTGGAGAGGATGCGGGGAAAAGGCAACACTTCTACACTGTTGGTGGGAGTGTAAACTAGTACAATCTCTGTGGAAAACAGTTTGGCGATTCCTAAAAGATCTAAAAATCAACCTTCCATACAACCTTGCAATCCCCTGACTGGGACTATACCTGGAGGAATTCAAATCAATCTATGAAAAAGATACCTGCACCTGCATATTTACTGCAGCATTATTCACAATAGCAAAAACATGGAACCAACTGTGCTGCCCCTTGAAAGAGGACTGGATAAAAAAAGCAATACATATAGACGAAGGAATATTATGCAGCCATAAAGAAAGACAAACATAAGGACTTCGCAGCAACTTAGATGGATTTAGAGTCTACAATACTCAATAATCTATAACAGAAATAAAGAACTGAGTACCACATGTTCTCACTTATAAACGGACCTTGAACGATTATCATAATACTATAAGAAAGGAATTGGCAGTAGTGGGAAACTGCCAGGGGAGGGGCACACCTCATCAACAAGGGTACCTGCATAATGACCATTTGTGTACCTAGCCCTGAATGGTACCCCACATCTTTGAAATTAAAAAAAAGTGGGGGAGATGTCAGTCATGAGCCTGTGGTCACCAGGCAAATCTACTTGTCTTAAATGTAAACGTATTTCCTCTTGTTCTTCTCTTTCTTATGAGCCTGGCACAGTGGCCTGTTTCTGTAATACTAGCACTGTGAGAGGGAGGATTGCTTGAGTCCAGGAGTTCGAGACCAACGTAGGCAACATAGTAAGACCTTGTCTCTACAAAATAAAAATAAAAATAATTAGCTAGGTTTGGTGACACCTGCCTGCAGTCCCAGCTGCTCGTGAGGCAGAGACAGAAGGATCACTTACTCCCAGAAAATTGAGGCTGCAGTGAGCCATGATCGTGCCACTGCCCTCTAACCTGGGCAACAGAGTGAGACCTCCAACTCAAAAATAAAATAAAAATAATAACCCTTTTATGCATTAATATTGTGGAATCCGTCAATTTTAAATAAGGTTTGAAAAATGTAGTCAAGCATGGAGAGAAAACTCTGCCAGGTGACCTCAGTGCTAGGAGATCTTTGTGAAGAAAGGGGAAATAGAATCTGAGTCGGCACTGTTACTGAGTTTTCTTTTACAGGGACATCTTGACATTGATTACAGTAACCAAGTATTCAGTTAACACTCAACTCCATAGGACTCTTTCATCTCATCATGCTACAAATGCTAGTCAAGTTGTGCTTCTTCAGTTACTGTTTTTTTTTTACTTTGACCTGTTCCTCCAGGAATGTGGACAGATCTTTGGTTTGAAGCTTTCAGATTCTTCCCCTCAGCATGTGTTTCTAGGGGCAAAACACAGACCATACTCAACCATCATACCCTTGCTTGTAGCAGCAAACTCATAACCCTATCATTATAAGCACAGTGCTTCAACCAGCTAGCTAGGCACAGCTAAGCCAACCGATTCAGACAGAATTTCTCTCCCAAAAAGGCCGGGGCAGGATTTCTTGCTATACGTAATAAGCAAACTCTGGGCTCTCATCCCAGGATTCAACAAAGTTTTGCTTTGGCTAAGAGTTTCTGAAAATGAAGTCAGTCATCTCTAAAAAAGTAGTAGAGTGTCTGCCAGGGCCATCTCTTGGCATGGTGCCCACCCAACTCCAAGTTTTCATTTAAACTTCAGAAGTTCACAGTCCTGATTCTCTGAGGAAGGAGCAAGTATTAAAAACACTTGGGGGATGTCTGTGGGTGAGTGACATATAATTATAAACCAGCTGGTAGATATGTGATGAACTATTCCTCCAGGTAAGTTAAACCCTTTGAGGCTAAGTCACCACCTCCAATCTTTTCTGGAAGTAGTTGGAGAGGAGATAACGCATGAAAAGAGCAGAAGAGGCAGAGTTGAAACAAACACATAAGAGCAGCCAGAAACACTGAGCGCTGGGTAACACTTGGCATAGACAAAGGGAAAAACAGATTTAGATCCTGCCATGCCATTCTGGAGCCGGGTGAGCTAATTTAGTTGCCCATTCAGTAGACAACTCATTCAGTGAGTCCCTTTGGGCCTCAGTTTCTTCATCTATAAAACGGGGATAATAATAGCATAGCTACCTTATGGAGCTGTTGCAAGATGAAATGTGTTATTATATAGAAAGTGATTCAAACACAGCTAAACACATACTAAGTGTTGTACATTATTGTTGCTGCGTTCTAAACGTTTCTAGAATGTTCAACCGACTTTGGCTGCTATACCAGCTTAGTGAGTAACCATTAATGATAGAACACTTCAAAGGTAGGTTACAGGAGTGCTGCTGTGAGTAAAACTTCCCAATGCAGGTCATTGATTACTGCCCGCAAAGTCTACTGTTGACATTATTTTATGTTCTTGTTCTACACACCCACATTTGGGGGGCAGGGGAGAGTGGGGAGTGTTTCCACATGGAAATTAAAGATTGAGATTGCTTATTTCGGGAAAAGCAAAAATAAACAACATGGAGGTGCCATCGGGGCTGTCCCCACCTACTTCCCAGGCAGCTTCATAGGAAGCTGGCACTGGCCCTTTGAGCAGTGTGGGGTCATCTGGGTCTGGTTCTGTCACACACCTACTCTTTTCTATTCCACCATGTAACAAAGAACCAAGTCACCATTCTTTGGTTACTGATCACTTTGATGAGTGTCACTCTTCATTTCCTAGTAACCGTTTCCTTCCTCATTACTAAGCCCTACCAACCGAAGGCCTCTGAGCTCTTCCACTCTGACTCAGAACAAGAGGCCTGCATGGCAAGCCCATCACCCTGAATCAGAGCTTTTCCAGTGTTTGTTGATAGGAAGGGAAGAATGCAGGTATGGCAACAGTGATCACAAGATCTACAGCTTTGGAAAACTCTCAAACCAATTTCTAGTCACTCGTCATCTAAAGATTGTTCCTGAGGGGTAAAACACCTTGATATGAAGGCGGAAACGATGACACAGAGGCTGCAAAAGGCTCCTTTTCTACCCTACCTCATCCTCTACCCCACTCAGTTCCACGACCCGTGTTTTGTTTCATCCCTTTGGATGGAGTGGAAAGGATTTGATACCAAATTCACAGCAAGGTATGAGTAGTGTGGGTGTGACTCCTTCAGACCATGCTTATACTCTGAAGAGAATCCCAGATAGGGGAAGAAGTCTCTAAAGTAGACACCTAAGTCGTGTGATCTCTCTTTTCTAAGTCCCAGGATGAAATGGGCTCATTTAAATGAGACTTTTCTTAATTATCTCAACTAAACTGTCTTCTCCATCCTGTTCATTCTCTAATCAATTACCCCATTTCATTTTATTCATAACCCTAATGACTATCTGAAATCATCTTGTTTTGTTTGTCTACTCTCAAAGAGTGTGACCTTGTCTGGTTTATTCACTTCTGTATCCTTAGGTGCCTAAAACAGTGTCTGACACATAATAGGTGCTTGATAAACATTTGCAGAATGAATGAAAGAATAATGAACTGACATGATTTTTAAGCAAAATAAATAAATCGTTTGCCCCCAATAGACTCTGACAATTCAGACCCTGTACATTTTTTATGGGACAAACAAGAGTAGCCTTTGTTCTCTGTACACCAACTATCATGGCAGTGATAGGTAGCACAGCTCACTTAGTTGCCATCATTCAGTGGACTTTCAGTGGAAGGTAAGCTAAAGTACAAGCTGGAATACAGGCTTCCAAAAGGCAAAGACGCTCTCCTGGATATGTATGCACTGGCTTACGACCGGAAGGGAACACTTTTCACTTCTAACGTAATTGAAATGATGAAGAGGAGTTTGAAGTTGAAGATAACAGATCTCCACACGACAACCCCACATCTCTAAAAGTTCAAAGGTTTCCACTTTGTTAGATGTACATCTTCTAATGATCCCCCGCTCTCTATGGCCTTTGCCCACAGCAACTCTCACAATAGCAATAAGGTGTGTAGGTGGCAAGTATTATTAGGCCCACAAACAGGTGGAGAAAGTGAGACACAGCCAAGGCAGAGTGAGGGTGAGCCAAGTTAGGTAAACCAACCACCTGGCTTATTGTGTACTCCATTCCAGTCGCCACTCACTGAGTGCCTACTTTGTACAAGGCATAATTTTTGAGTAATGTGAACCAATAGTCAACATTCGTTTTCCCATTCAGACAGGCCTAGGCTTGCTTGGCTCAGGACTGGGGGAAGCTTCTCCAACAGCCTAGACGGTGCCCTTGAGCATGCAGTTGCAAATGAACAGAGCTGGAAAGAACAGAGCCCCTGATGTAACACCCAGTGCTTAAGAGTGGTGGGTTTCCTGTGTGGAATGAAAGGAATCTTCCGATTGGTTTTTGATCACAAACAAGGCTCACTGGCAGGCAGGCCCTGTGCTTTTCATGCATTAGCTCATTGGGTCTTCACAAACTTTGAGGTAGGAAATAATTTTATCCTCCTCTGACAGGTGAGGAAACTAAAGCTCTTTGACTTACCCAAAGTCACAAAGCCTGTAAGTGGGAGAAACACTTGAACATGAATCACCTAGATCTGTCTGATTTTGGAACCAATCTCGGGCATCTGTTTCCAGTTGAAGACATGCCAATCAGTATCTACAACATTCAGGTCGAGCACTGGGACTCTATTGTCCTATAGCAACGAAAAACCTCATTCAGTTACAGCCCGACGCAGCCACCGTTGCCATTTACAACTACAATAACAAAAAAGCCCTCACTAAATGTGGAGTGAATACACGAATGATGTTCGTAATGCAATATTTAATCTTCTTGTATTTTTTGAGCCAGTCTCACTTTGTCGCCCAGGCTGGATGACAGTGGCACACTCGTGACCACTGCATCCTCAATCTGCTTGGCTCTGATGATCTTTCCACCTTAGCCTCCCGAGTAGCTGGGACTACAGGTGCACACCACCACACCTGGCTAATTTTTAAAAAAATTATCTTAGAGACGAGGTCTCACTGAGTTGCCCAGGCTGGTCTTGAACTCCTGGGCTCAGGCAATCCTCTTGTCTCCACCTCCCAAAGTGCTGGGATTACAAGCATGAACCACCACACCCGGCATTGAAATATTTACTCTTCAGCCGGGTTCGGTGGCTCAGCCTGTAATCCTGCGCCTTTGGGAGGCTGAGGTGAGTAGATTGCCTGAGCCCGCGGGTTCGAGACCCGCCTGGGCAGCGAGACCTCATCTCTACAATAAATAAAAAAATCAGCCGGGCGTGGTAGCGCGCGCCTGTAGTTCCAGCTACTTGGAAGACTGAGGCGGAAGGATCGCCGGAGCCCAGCAGGTCAAGGCTGCAGTGGCCAGGAGCGGCCACTGCACTCCAGTCTGGGCGACAGAGTGAGACTCCAACTCAAAAAAAAAAAAAAAGAAATATTTACTCTTCAAGAAAATGTGACCACATGTTTAGAGTCTTCTGTTGGGAGGTAACATTTTAGGAAGTTTCTATCCAACCACAGCTATAAGAGTACCTGCATAATGATCATTTGTGTACATAACCCTGAATTGTACCCCACATTTTTAAAATTTAAAAAAAGCTATAATTTGTAAGTTCCCACATATAAAAGGCTGGCCTTCAACTACAGTCATGCATTATTTAACAACAGCGATATGTTCTGAAAGGTGCATTGTTAGGCAATTTCATTATTGTGCAAACATCGTAGAGTGTACTTACACAAACCTAGATGGTACAGCCTACCCCACACCTGGGCTACATGGTGTAGTCTATTGCTCCTGGGCTACAAATCTGTACAGCATGACACTGTACTGACTATTACAGGCACTTATAACATAATGACATTTATGTATTTAAAAATATCTAAACATAGAAAAGGCACAATAAAAATACAGTATTATAACCTTATGGGACTACTGTTGTATATGTAGTTCCATGTTGACCAAAGATATCATTATGCTGCCTATGATTGTATTTAGAAAATGAGCCTTTCTAGGAGAGTGTTTTCCCTGATGCTTCTGGATAGTGGGCTTGCTTACCTCCACTGGCCTTTCTTAACACACAGTGACTAGGCAGTATAAAGTTGCAGTGATGGTGAACATAGACTCTGAAGCCAGACTGCTGGGGTTCTAATCTCAGCTCTGTCACTTGACAGCATTAAAACCTTAGGCAAGTTACTTTATTTTTGTGTACCTCCATTTCCTCATCTGTTGTATGTATTAAATAAGCTATTATTTGTAAAGCACTTAGAATCTGGCACATAGTAAACCCTATGTAAGTTATTATGCCGCTTTAGGTAATAAGTGAAACTGTGGTGAAAATTTGGCCCATGAATAGGCCACCAAATAGACAAAATAGAAGCAGCAAGTTGAAGGTTAAGCCTGTAAGTTGTGATTTCTATGCACCAACAATTTTGCTTTCTTCCTTCTACTGCTTGTTATTGAGCTCGAGAGTAGTTAGATTGTGGCCCACCAGAAGCCACACTTTGTGACCACCAAAACCCAGAATTGCCCACCTCTGTTTTCTAGAAACTCTGGGTAGGTGACTCAGCACTCACATGCTAATTCTCCCGTAGTACCCTAAACCTGAGGCTAGCATGAACCACAACAGTGGGTGACATTGGCAGTGTCTATTGGGCGGTCCTTCTCATGCCTTCCTTCAGCATCTCCCTCCTCCAGTTCTCTCATGTACTCAGTACATGTACAATGACCCTGACTGTGCAGCATGCCTTATAAAGGACATCACTCAGCCTATTGGCCTAGGGCTCCATACTTTCCTAAATGGAATACTGATTAGGCAAAAGCTACATCCCTCATAGCAAATTGGACTCAAAACAGCTTAATCTCTCATTCACAAAACAAATAACCTCCCATTTAAAACAGCTTCCTAATCTTTGTTAGTGAACCATAGCACTGGTCAAGACAATTTTGTCATCATCAAGTTGGTTTTTTTTACCCTTCTGATGTCTTCTCTCCTCTTCTCAGGCTACCATTGACTACATCCTTTATTTTTTGAAAGTCAGCCATAAAAAAACATATCTTAGGAACATCTGAATAGGAGGTTTATGATATCTCCACTTATGTTTCCAGTGGTGAAATGTTTGATGTCTCTACATCTCTTTAATTTCTAAGATAATGTTTCTATTTTTCCCTTAAAGTTAAGAGAATTGTACAACTTTACATTAGAATAAAAAAATTTTAAAAGGCATTATGGTATTTTTTCTGGATTCAGAAGAGCACATTTTATCAGCAAAATATAGTATCAATTCATGTGTGTGAAGAGTTTTTACAAAACAATTACTTGTCCTAATAAAATGTTGACTTTAGTGCAAATAAAAGTATATTGTGCATAAATAGGTTTGTTTCCACTCTTCTACTCCTCTCTCCATTCTCCAACCATCTCACCTCCACCATCAGTTGTTTATTCCTATTTATTATTGAATTAAACAAAAATGATATGCTATGGGTTGAACGGTGTTCACTGAAGTTTTAACCCTGAGTACTTCAGAATTGACTTTATTTGGAAATAGGGTCATTGCAGATGTAATTAGTTAAGATGAGGTCTCATTATGGTAGGGTAGTCCTTTAATCCAATGTGACTGTTGTCCTTACAAAAAGAAGAAATTGGGACATACACACACACACACACACACACACACACACACACACACACACACACACACGATGTAAAGATGAAAGCAGAGAGCAGGGTAATGTATCTATAAGCCAAGGAACACCAAAGATGGTCAAAAAACCACCTGGAAAGATACATGGATCAGATTCTTCCTCAGCACCTCCGAAAGGAGTCAATCCTGCTGACACCCTGATTTTGGACTTCTAGCCTCCAC